TGTGTGTGTGTGTGTGTGTGTGTGTGTGTCTGCTTGTTGTAGCTTTAGTAAAGATAAGATAAACCTTTAAAATATCATAAGTATCTTGGACAGAGATTGATTAAACCCTCCAAAAACAATGACTGGGTACACATCAACACTGAATAAGTTAGTGTCAGCATTTATTTTATGTATACAGCCCAGGCCTGAGGCATAGGCGGTATAGGCAAATGCTAAAGATGCTGTTTACCTAGGGGGCTGCCACACATGAGGACAAATATATATATACACACAGACTTGATTTAGTCTGCAGAATAATTGCTGGTTATTTGAGTTGATGAGGGTAATTTGATCTCAGCTTGCTTTGACACTAGGTGACGAGATTTTATGGTTCAGATGATATTTTGTGATAAAAGTATAATATGATGCAGCTAAGACTTGATTTAAAATCTCAGATAAAGTTTAGATTAAAGTCTGGTTTATTTAAAAGGCTGATTTTATGTTTAATAATCAGAAGAATTCAGTAAAATGCTCTTTAAATGACCGGAAAAAGCCTCAGACCCCCCTAGAACTGCTTCAGTCCACAGCTGCTCGTTAACATGAACAGGTGTTCCTCTTTGCTGTCAGCACTCAGACATGGTAAATTTGACATCCTGGTTTTTAAAGATGAAACGATAATCTCAAAAACAAAATTATTTATTTTGATAAGTGATTGTGTGGAAACTGACAGTGAGATTTAGAAATTTGCTCAAGGGGCACCACCTGAAATCTTAAGGCGTCGACTTTTCTCTGTTCTGTTCCATTATGAATTTACAAGTGATTTAATCATGTTTAATCCACATTTCAGACAAAATTCCACTTTTGTCTGTATTGTTGTATTACAAGAAAAAATAAAATCTGAGGATTTTTGCATCCAGATTGGATTAAAACATGCATCAGGTTGGCATGGTCTCACTGGTGTGATGTGAACCCAGCACTGGTTGGCCCCCAGCTTGAAATCGTGCGACTGGCTCCAAAGTCCCTCCAGGATTTACAAATATTGCTTCCACATCGATGAAACGACAAAGCAGGATTACCTCTCGCAGCCCTGCTCGCACAGATCAACACATGGCTCCTTGTTGCTGTAAATATCAGCAGCGCGCATCTTGTTTTGCCTTTTTGTCACGAAAAGGATGCTGGGGAGAGAAAAGACGTCCACAGGACAACAGGTGTCTGAGCAGGAAGCACAGTTTTCAGCCTTTTTGTGTCAATAAAGTTCCCAGACAGGGTGTTTGAACAGGTCAAAATGTTTTATTTTTCTTTTATCATTATTTTTTTCCCTGTTTTTATTCGAGGCGCGTGTAATGAGCCTGGGAGCGAGTGACAAACGCACGAAAGGCACTTCTTTCATTTCACTTACTTATGGCGTGAAGTCGGAGTCTGGCTGCAACCATTTGCTCCGTCTCCGCGGGGGGGTCTGAGCTCTGCAGAGGGGGGTTTCTAGAAGGAGGGAGGCTTCGTTTACAGGAAGAACGCCTTACAAATAGAATGATTTTCAGGTATATTTAAAAAATAGATATAAACAACTTTAATTTCAACCGGAAAGCACACCAAATGTTAGTTTGCTTATTTTATTCCACCCCCCCTGGTTCTGGCACACCAGCAGAGCGGAGCAGAGTATCAATCTGATGCTGTCCACCGTTTCCAGGGTGAAAACCCTCCAAGGAAGCGTTCAAAAGCTGCTAATCCAAATAGTTGGTGAGAAAGAGAAGGAAAAAAAGACAAGAGAGAAAGAAGCGCAGGGGAAAATAAAAACGGGGACCTTTCAGAAGAAGAAGAAAAAAAACTCGAGTTGGATACAAAAATCCCCCCACAGGCAGGTGATCTTAAACGTGCTTCATTGTGACTGGTTTGAGTGATTGACGGTGTTTTGATCCCTGTGATCTGCGTACAGAGAATCAATCAGCACCGGTCGGCTCGGACAGCTCCGCGCTTCCTCCTCCTCCTCCTCCTCCTCTTCCTCCTCCTCCGCGGCTCTGCCTCTCCGTCCGCTCCGGCTGAGATGCTGCTCGGAGCCGCTCCGAACCGTCCGCTCGCTTCCGTTATTTTCCATCTGATCTACAGCCTTATTCATATTTATTTTATTATTTTTTTTATTTCCTTTCAAGCAGTTAAATGAGCAGCCGACGCTGTGTTCGCGGGTCCTGTGAAGTGGTCGTGTCACCGCTGGAATTAAAACGCTCTAACTGCCTCCTCCTCTTCCTCCTCTCCTTCCTCTTCCTCGCAGGAACGACTCTTGGGGCGCCTGGTCCACGAAAGGATGCAAAACGGTGCTCACAGATGCCTCCCATACGAAATGCTTGTGTGATCGCGTATCTACCTTCGCCATTTTGGCTCAGCAACCAAGAGGAATAGTAAGTAGGATATCGATTTGTTATTCAGTGTGGCTTTCATGGGCTAATGTAAAGGTGAAATCCTGCCTGTCTCTCTCTGTGTGTGTGTGTGTGTGTGTGTGTGCGTCCGGGCGCGCGCGCGCGTGTGTGGGAGAGCTGGTGAGGATGGAAATTAAATCTTTGCCATGCTAATCCCCTTAAATAGTAATTCAACTGTAAATGGAGCTTGTGTGTGTGTTTGTGTGTGTAGGGGTGGGGGTTTGCCATTTTGCTCATAGATTTCCATAGTCTACTGTATGTGCACAAGGGAGGGTGTGTGCACGCTRGTGCTTGTTTGTGTGTCATTTTTTTTAATTCACTTTTGGTCCGGTATAAACAAGGGGTGGGGGGATTGGTGCTGCTGAAATGTTACCATTTGATCTGCTGAGATGAGAACAAGCAGAAGGCTGTAATTTCCTGTGAAGATGAAGTAATTACAGCTCAAGCATGGGATCACTTTTGCTAGTGCAAAGCAGGAACACAAGAAGAAATATTGCATTCCTCTGCTGCAGGCCGGAAGCATTCAGTAGAGGAATGCACTGCAAAAACTGTCCATCTTACCAAGTTTTAAAATCTTATATCCAGCCAAAAAGTCTTTTTTATCTTGTTTTGAGACTGATTTACTAAACAAGAACTGACTGTAAGAATAATAATCTTGTTTTCAGAATGTGTAAGATTATTTGTCTTGTTAGCCTGAAAATTTGACTCAAATTAAGCCAAAAAATGTCTGCCAATGCAATGAAGTTAGAAAATTTTATTTGATATGATTCTTGAAATAAGAAAAAATTGAGTCAAATTAAGTATTTCAAGAATCTTACCAAGTAAAATTTTCTTACTTCATTGGCAGAAATTTTTGACTTAATTTGAGTTAAATTTTCAGGCTAACAAGACAAATAATCTTACACATTCTGATATTCTTACACAATAAGTTCTTGTTTAGTAAATCAGTCTCAAAACAAGATCAAAAATACTTTTTGGCTGGATATAAGATTTTAAAACTTGGTAAGATGGACAGTTTTTGCGGTGTGGCGGGCATTAGTTTGCCATGAAAAAAAAAGCTTTCTTTAAAATTAAATATAACCTAATTGTGTTTTCAATTCTGCAGTCCTGTTTCTACTCATTAGCTTTATGGTTTTAGTAATCTCTAGCGCCAATGGATGGAAAGTTCTTTTGCATCCATCTAAACATCCTCCAAGCCCACGCACCTCAAACCTCACAGTTAATTAAGGAGCCCACTGTGGATTATTCAGATGTGTGGTGGTTGTTTTGACTGCTTCTCTCTCCCGGCAGTAATAAAGATTTAGTGTCCTTTAGAGAACTCCATCCGGCCTCCCACTGACTGCTTCGTCTCACTCCGTCTTCTCCACAGACCATGGACTACTCAGGGGTCCCATCTGTGACATTGATAGTTGGCTGTGGTTTGTCTTGCCTCGCCCTGATCACACTGGCTGTGATCTACGCTGTGCTATGGAGGTAAATGTAACACTCGTGTGTTTCAGCCACGTGATGGTGGAGCGTCGTTGGTGCTACAATGCTAATACAGCTAATCGCGATGAAGTGAAAACGTTCAGCGTTTTGGAGAGAAAGGATGCGCTGATCCAATCGCTTTTGTTTCTTTCAGATATATTCGCTCTGAAAGATCCATCATCCTGCTGAACTTCTGCTTATCTATAGTTTGCTCCAACATATTGATCCTCGTTGGACAAACACAGACTCACAATGTGGTAAGTGTTGCTTCTAAATATACACAGAGTGTTAAAAACCCCACGGTTGTTGAATTTAACATGAATCAGGAACAATGAGACACCAATGATTTAACATACTCACCATTGTGAGCGTTCTTTGTGATCTTTTGTTAGTTTTCAATATGTRTCTCTACATGACTTTTGAAAAGATAACAGCTCAGTCGTACCTTTCTTATCATTTTGAGAAATGTCAAATTCACTCTTTTTTTCAAAGGTCATTGTTACGTTTGCTACATTTCTTTAAAAAAGGAGAAAAGAAAGGAGTCAAATCGTGTGAACATTACCATTATTGGGAGCGAATGTTAGCTTTTTTTTTTTTTGGTCCGTAAAAAAATACACACTGGGGAATAATGGTTTTGTTGCTATAGAGAAGTTAGCCAATATAATATTTTGTCTAATATATCTAATATCTATCTAATATAAAGGTAAATAACACTAAATGGAGCCTGGTCAATGTAAGACTTTCAGAATCAGCAGCTGGAAGTTATCTGGCCTAGATTTTATTATATGACTATTGTGTGTCACTGAAATGGCCTCAAACCATCCTGGGGTTATGTGGGGCACATTTTTTACTCAAATGTTAATGAATATTAGCCTATAAGTCACTCCAAGATTCAAAGGGAAAACTGCTATATTGTTAGAAAACCAGGACTTTATCCAGTAAAAGTTTGTCAATTCCTGCCACCGGTTTTGTAACGGAGCAGTAAACAAGTGGCTAATGTAAATGATTGTTTGGCAAAAGGTAGTTTGGATGAACAAACTGCTCACACAGATGCCCTTCTCAGTCATTTGGCAGCTCTACAGAAAGACACATTGTTCAGTTACAAACATTTTATTGTGTAACCGTTCACTCAGTTTGTCTTTACCACTTACACAAGACACTTAAATCCACAACTTGTTATTTTTCTAATTTGTTCCTGATATATTTTCTCTCCTTTTTAATATGTTAGTCATTGCGCTGATGCTATATTGCCTTATGTGTATTAGCTCGGTGCTAGCGCGACAAACAAACAAGCTAAACTGAGGTCCTCCATCCATACTTTCAGTTGCAGGTTTTGCGTTCCCCTCTCTGTCATGTGGATGGAGGACCTCAGTGATGAGAGAATGTGTAGCGCTGAGCTAATACATATATGGTGATAGCGTTGGTGCTAAAGCTAAAGCTAACAGGCTAAGCTGAGGTTCTTCTTCCATGAAGCAGCTCTGTTGTTCTCCATCCATATTTTCAGTTACAGGCTGAGTCGTTTCTACCTTCTCCTCTCTGTCAACGCTCTCTGGTTTCATTTAAAAGCATCAATCGTCAGATATTGTCCAAGATTAACCTTCAGGGTGGATATAGC